AGTTCCCAGAATTCTCCATCTTCACACACAGATTTTAGTTCCCTCTGGCTTGTTGGGAGGGCAAAGAACAAGGGTGTAGGGTGTACCTCTCCAGCCTGTCAGAAGCAGACCAGAGACATGAGAGTAGACACTGGGTTGACCAGATCACCGTGTCAGCTGCAGCAGCCACCAAGCTCCTTTCATTCGTTTACCTGCCGTCTATTAGTAGGCATATGTTTCCAGCTGTCCCTCTCATCAGCACCATACAGCATTCATCCTGAGGATCCCAGAGGACTTCTCTGGCAGTCAAAGGTGTGCCATGGTGTCTGATACGTTACTGAATTCCTTCCCATCAGGAGTCACTTCTGCATACACAGTGCTTGAGATCTGGCCTCTCTCCACGACTTGGTGAACTGTGGCCACTGCCAGCACACACTACACTTGGTGACACACCATTATTCTCCCATAGTGTGTTGCACAGGATCATGTACTCATCTGTTGGGAGTACCTGGAGCTGTTGGCTCTTCTGGAGAGGACCCAGCCAGCACAGAGTGACAGACAGTGCAGCCAGCTCCCCCACTCCACCCTGCCAATAAGCCTTTCCTCCACTGACTTCCCAGTGGAAAATAGTTATTGGGCTATTCATGTTCCTCAACAGGTGCATATGACAAGCATCTGGGGTGGAGCAGTTCCTTACTATGAGGTCATCTCACACACAGGGGCCATGGCCTACAGGGAAAGGCCAGCAGCAGTATCCAGTCTATTCAAAGCAGAGAAATCCCTTCCTTCCCTCTGTGCCATTAGCTTGTGTAAGGAGACCCAAGGCCTATGGTGCTAACACATCTTGTCAATGTTTGCTAGCAAACAGAGGGTGATTCTGGGATATGAGCATCTGGAAGAGTTGTTAAACATGTATACTGGCCTCTCCTTAGCTATTTCTAGAACTGTTTGCCCCCAGTTCTACTGTAGATGTCTTAAGGGAGAGTGTGTGAGCCTGCTACACTCTCAGGAATGGGACTAAAGGGGACAGAGTCTTTAGTAGTCTGGTAGACTTGAGACTGGAAGCTGTGGTATCCTAGGACAGCAAGGAGCAAGGTGTGGGCCTGCCCAGGAGGGTAGGAGGCCAGGACAGGTCCACAGGCTGGGCCCTGGAGAAACTACACATAGAGGCCAGTCTGCAGTTGTAGGGGTTACAGGAATTTAGTGGGCCCTGGACTATGGCCAGGGAGCCCCACCACATACTACCATGGCTTTGTACAGTGCTACCTACATTCTTACTTGTATGTCACAATCTCAGGGAACCCCAGGAAGAGTGGCAGAAGGGTTGAGGCACAAGTCAGAACTGTGACACAGTTCCTCTTGTGACACAGACCTGACTCAAAGTGCTAATAAAGAGCTGGCATTGTTAAAGGCTCAGTGACAAACACTGGCATGAGTTCAGCTCTGTGGGCCCCCACTTTCTTTTCCCTGCCCTGTCCCTCTCTCCCTGCAATAGTTATGGTAGAGAACCTGTGTGTGTGTGGCGTGGGTGGGTGGGTGGGTGTGTGTGTGTTGCACCTATGCCAACAGTAAATAAGACTAAGGGAGAGACAGAGTAGCCCCACACTGTCTTTGATGACCATGCCTTCAGTGAACTAAGCACTTGAATTAGGCTCCACCCTTAAAGGTCCCATGGCTTTTTGGGAACCACACCTCTAACGCTTGAATCTTATTGAAACCATGGCAAAGCACATTCCTGATAACCTTGGGCAACTGATAGCCTCTCCTATCAGCTGAGGGATGAGTAGATTTAGGTCTAACTGGAAGAGAAGTAAATGGAGGCTAGAAAGGTGCCCTGATGTCTATCAGGAAGGAAAGTGGCTGCTTCATATATAGTCATTTAAGTCTTCCAAGTATAATGTTGTAACTTCTAAGAGCATGCAGAGCAAATGCATGCCACAACAAGGACCAGGAGAGTGGAGAATTTATAGAGTAAGACTTTATCCTTGGTCTTAGCCCAGTAAGCAAACGTTACAATCAGGTGTGGAGTTAACAATTAGCTGCTTCTTTGGACTGTTGTTAGTAAGTGGAATTTTATTTAATTCCAAGCTGATTCAGAAGGATTAGAACTGAGGCTGTAAGACGGTTTGGCTACTAGGAGCACTTGTTCTTGCAGAGGACCTAGATTCTGTTCCCAGCATCCACATGATGGCTCACAACCATCTGTAACTCCAGTTCCAGAGCATTTGCTGTCCTTTCCTGATCTCTGAAGGCACCATGTATGCATGTGGTGCACAGACATGCAGGCAAAACTTTGATACATATATAATAAAATTAACCTTAGAAAATATTTTTTAAAAGATGGTTCTGAGGGTAAAGAGACTTGCTGCCAAGCTGGACTACCTGAGTTTGATCCTGCAGCCTAGAGGCTGGAAAGAGAAAACAGATTCCTGTGAATTCTTTTCTGACTTCCATGCAAATAAATAAATTTTTAAAGTTTTAGATTTATTCATTTTATTTTTTTTTATGTGCATGAGTGTTTTGTCTGCATGCATGTCTGTGTACAAAGGGACTGTAGTTACAGATGGGTTTGTGTTGCCGAGTACATGCTTGGAATCAAACTTGCATCCTTAACCACTGGGCAAACTCCCCAATCCAAATATATTTTTAATTGAATAAATTAGTATTTTATATGCATATACATGTACATGGGAGGGAGGCTAAAGTCCTTAGATGTCTTCCACTGTTACTGTCCACATGTTTTCAAACTGGGTCTCTTACTGAACCCCAGCTTACCAACACAGCACTGGAAACATGCTGTGTGTTCACTAATGCTATTGAGTGATTAGTTGCTACAGACCTTACTCTGTTGGATGGAGCCTTGGTCTTAACGAGGAACCCACGGACAGCCATCTCTGGGTACTTCTTGAGCAACCAGCAGTGCTCTGACCCCGGTGAGCCCCTGGCCATGGCTGTCCAGTGTTGCCTAAGTATCCAGTTTGGTCTTCTGAGAGGACCACATAGATTTTATACATGATAGGTGAGGTGATTTTAGATTGTCTGTTAATTATTGAAATGGTGAGAAAATTTATCCTTTCTCAGTTGTTTCTTCTTCATGGTGGCCTTGGACGTCCCAGTTTAATACTGCAGTCAGTCCCAACTCCTAACTGACTGAGGCAACCAGAGGGATTTTTCCTTGTTTTTTTTCCCCCTAAACAATGCAGTGACAATAGGATGATAACTAGTATTTATCTCCTGGTTTCAGAAGGTCCAGTCCATCATGATAGGGGGGGCATGAAAGAGCAAAGTGGCTCACACTAAAACCCGTGTTCCAGTGCCTTCTCACTTACACTTTTTTCGCTCTCTCCAGACCCCAACCCATTGGATGTTGTTGTCCACACCCAGTGGGTCTTACCCACACAGTTCATCTTCTCTGGAATACCCTCAGATATACCCAGAAATGGGTCTCACCCAACTCCTAGGTGATTCTATATCTGGACAAGTTGACAGTGAAGATTAACCACCACAGCCACTATTTGTGTAGCATTATATGGTATCAAGTGTGATTTGCTGGCCAGAGATGCCTTGGAGTGTACGGAGGGTGTCATGGGTTCTATGCAAAGCCCACACTGTTGAGCATCCAGTGATTTTTAACACTGGTGAAGAAGCTGGGAGCCATCACCTTTGCTGAGAATGTATCTTTTCCTGTGCTTATTTGTATTTATTTTATGTTTTTAAAAAAGGCCCCACATATCTCAAGCTGACCACAAATGTTGTATGTAGCCAAGGATGATCTGGAACTTCTGACCCTCTCTCTGCATCTATCAAGTGCTAAGGTTAAGGTGTTTGCCAACACATCCCACCCCATTCTAAGCCTCTTGGTTTTCTTTTGAACAAAGAATGTTTAGTGAGAGCTTTTGGCCAACAATGTCATTAGGTAGAATGATAATCAGTATTTTTGTTTGTTTGTTTGTTTGTTTGTTTGTTTTGAGACAGGTGTTGACATGAGCCTTAGCTGGCTGGAACTGGTTAGGTAGACCAGGTGATTCTGAACTTCCTTAGCCTTCTGAGTAGTGTCACTGTACTTTTTCTTAAAGCTACCATCTATCTGGTATGAGAAAGTCTTCTATTTAAGATTCAGCATTACAAAGAACGTTGGTAAGGAGAATGATAATGTGATCCACAAGGCAGAAGTTTGGATGGCTGCCATGGCTACAGAAAGGCAGAGGTCCCCCACTTGGAGTTGAGCTAGGTCCCCCAGTTCGATGCAGAGGCATTCTTGAGAGAAGGGGACACAGAATTAGAGGCAGAGGACTCATTTCTCTTTCCGTTTGCCCCGACTTCCACATCCCTGAAATGAGGGATCAGGAGGTCTTTAAGTTACTTATGCCAGCCATTGCCTACTGTGAAGCCTGCTGAGTAGTAGCCATAATTGTTACTCGGTGTCCATGGGGATTGGCTCCCAGACTCCATAGAGTCCAAAATTCACCAATGTTCAGTTCCCTTCTATAAAATGAATCCCTCTGCATACTGTAATCATCTCTGGATGATTGATGATAACTAACACAATGTAAACACTATGGAAATTGTTGCCATACTGTGTTGTTTAGGGGATAATGACAACAAAATGCAAATATAGAAAAATTACAACCACCAAATACGTTCAAATTATTTATTACTATTATTGTGTGTGCATATGTATGATGTGTGTGAATGCAGGTGCACATGTACCATGGCCAGTGGGTAGGGGTCAGAGGACAACTTTCAGAAGTTGTTTCTTCTAAGTGAATTGCCAGGATCCAACTCAAATTATTAGCATGGTTTTACCACTGAGCAATAACAACAACAGCAATAATAATACAAGGTCTTTCTGTGTAGCTCAGGCTCCCTGGTTCTGGGATTACAGGCATGTGGCTTCACCCGAGGTTCCCACTTGCTTCGTTAGTGGGACCTACAGCTACTGAGGGCGGACAGCAACGCTGCCCTGATGCTGCTGCGCTGTCTTGCTCTCCCCAGTAATAACAGCCATATTCCCCTTGCAGGTTAGCTGTTGGGAGCGATGGGCGACTGGAGCTTCCTGGGGCGGCTGCTGGAGAATGCACAGGAGCATTCCACAGTCATTGGCAAGGTGTGGCTGACAGTGCTGTTCATCTTCCGCATCCTAGTGCTGGGGGCGGCAGCTGAGGAGGTGTGGGGCGACGAGCAGTCGGACTTCACCTGCAACACACAGCAGCCTGGCTGCGAGAACGTTTGCTACGACCGTGCCTTCCCCATCTCACACATCCGCTTCTGGGCGCTGCAGATCATCTTCGTATCCACGCCCACCCTCATCTATCTGGGCCACGTGCTGCACATCGTGCGCATGGAGGAGAAGAAGAGAGAGCGGGAGGAGGAGCTGCTGAGAAGAGACAACCCTCAGCATGGCCATGGTCGCGAGCCAATGCGTACAGCGAGTCCAAGGGACCCGCCACTCCGTGATGACCGTGGTAAGGTGCGCATTGCAGGTGCGCTGCTGCGGACCTATGTCTTCAACATCATCTTCAAGACGCTCTTTGAGGTGGGCTTCATAGCAGGCCAGTACTTTCTGTATGGCTTCCAGCTGCAGCCACTTTACCGCTGTGACCGCTGGCCCTGCCCCAACACAGTAGACTGCTTCATCTCTAGGCCAACAGAGAAGACCATCTTCGTCATCTTCATGCTGGCTGTGGCCTGTGCGTCACTGGTGCTCAACATGCTGGAGATTTACCACCTGGGCTGGAAGAAGCTCAAGCAGGGGGTTACCAACCATTTCAGCCCAGATGCCTCAGAAACCAGACACAAGCCCTTGGACCCCCTCCCCCAGGCCTCCAGCTCTTGCCCGCCCAGCGCCTCCATTGGGTTCCCATCTTTCTACATGCACCCTGCCTGTCCCCCAGCACAGGTAAGGGCCACAGGGTTCCCTGAGGCCCCACCACCAGCAGCAGACTTCACAGTGGTAACCCTGAGCGATGCACAAGACAGAGGCCACCCTGTCAAGCACTGCAATGGCCACCATCTAATCACAGAGCAGAACTGGGCCAGCAGAATAGCTGAGCAGCAGACTCCAGCCAGCAAGGCCTCTTCAGCAGCATCCAGCCCTGAGGGTCGCAAGGGGCTCACAGACAGCAGTGGCAGCAGCTTGGAGGAGAGTGCCTTGGTGGTGACCCCAGAGGAGGGAGAGCAGGCCTTGCCCACCACAGTGGAGATGCACTCCCCACCTTTAGTCCTCCTGGACCCAGGAAGGTCCAGCAAGGCCAGCAGCGGGCGGGCCAGACCTGGTGACTTGGCTATCTAGCCACTGTCTCCCCAGATAGCTTTGTAAACCTTCCCTTTCCCCCTTAGTAACCAAAACCAAAATGCATTTCAAATCAACAGGGAGGGAGAGAGAGAGAGAGAGAGAGAGAGAGAGAGAGAGAGAGAGAGAGAGAGAGAGAGATGGACAGCTCTGGAGACTGGCAAATATGGAGCAAGCTTAGTCAGGTGTCTGCTTTAATGCTTGCTGGTCTTACCGCTGTGGGATATAGTGGGGATGACTCCAGCATATGTGAGATTGAGAGCGGGCAGGGTTGTTCGTTTTTTCAAGATGCTCTCAGACTCCTCCATCCGCAGTTACTATTCTCCCATGATAAAGCAACAGGTATTTGCAGCCTTCCAGTGGGAGACAATTGGGTTCCCATCCCTAAGGTCTCTCCAAACAACCCGGAGTCACAGAGGCACTTAGCTCTATCTCGGTTTGATACTTTTAACTTAGAGTTGAATTTCATTTGGGATATTTGCCAAACTGTACTAAAAAAAGATTTAGAGGGACTCTATCTGGTGTCATTTGAGTTTCTGGAATTGCATTCAAAGTTCAGGCTATCCAACTACAGGCTGCACGACAAAGAGACAAATAGCAACTGCCCTCCAGAGGGTGATTATATGGGACAGGGCCACAAACGTTACTGGTAGAGGCAGGTAGAGGAGATGCAGAAACCCTGGAGAGCCCTTTAGCAGATGAGGAAAATAACGACAGTGTGGCAGGTATGCCGTAGGTATTTATTCTTTGATGACATTTTGTGCTTAATCTGAATGGTTAAAAAATATTTGCACCACACACACACACACACACACACACACACACACACACACACACACAATCTTTCATTAAAAACCAGCACTGTTAAAATGACTACTGACCAGGAAGATGTTTCATTAGTTGAGATTTTGAACTTTCCTTTAAAACAAATTCACCTTCCATGTCAGCTGACTAATCACTGTGAGGGTGTCTAGATAATAAGCTAATCACTGTGAGAATGTACGCTAGATAAAACTCGGGGGATTTGCGTGCATTTTAAATACTTGAAGTTTTAAAGTTTCTGAATGGGAGGTTCACTACTATAACCAGGAAAAAAATATTTAATATTTATACAGGTGAGTCACTGATGACCTACACTTAAAAGTACAAAATAAAACGCTTCAAGTTCCCTAACCATTTTTATTTTGTGCCTGTTTGCTTTCTAAAGTGTAAATAAAATTGTCTTGATTTTACTGCCTGTGTAAGAGCATGTGTCTGATTGTGGGGTGTCCACACCTCTGTTTTCCACCCACTTAAGTGCTGTTCTACAGGGAGGCTATTTATGTACATGGGCTGGGCAGGGAAAGGGCAGAATTCTCTGTACAGTACTGACTGCATTAGACCCTCTGTCACTATCATCATTTACCATAAGCTAGTGAATAATGGTCAGGCTGAGCCTGCTGCCGCCCCAACCCCACCCCCACCCCAGTGGCTTCCACTCTTGAGTTCATCCTTATTTAGCAAATATTATCTATTTTCCCATTTTATTTATTTTTACAAGTTAATATAATGATTAATTTAGGACCACACCCCACGTGCTTTCTATCTCCTGTGTTAAAGGGGTGGAGACTAGCCTTCTGTGTACATACATATATAGTTCATTAATGCATTCTTCTTGCTGTAGAATGTGATGGGCAATCATTGACATTTAAAATACACTGACTTTCCATGCAGAGCCTGGACCAGAGTTAAGGCCTTTGGAAAATTCTAAATACATAAGTACTAACACAGCACATTCTGTCTGTGGCTTAGGGAACAGGACTTAACTCTTTAGAGAAAGGTGCTGTGAGAATCCTGATGCTAGAAAATTCTGGTAAAACAAACAAGTGAGTTGGCTCTCTTAGAAAACACACTAGCAGTCACCAAAGAGTTACCATTCAGACACAGATGGATGCACATGCTTCCTGAGTTCTGCAAGTTGGACTGAAATAAATGTTATCATATGTGAGTCCTGGGCTTACCCATAGTTGATTTTTGATGGAGTATTTAGTTTTCACATTTGAAGACTGGGATTGGCAAGACAACTTTAGGACCTGAGCTGGTGCCCAGGACCTATGTTTTTTAAAAGATGGAGTTTCAGGACAGCAAGGACTATTTTACCACAGAGAATTTTGTCTTGGAAAAAAAAAAAAGAAAGAAAGAAAGAAAGAAAAGAAAAACAGACAAAAACATTGGGTTTTGTTGTTGTTTTGTTGGGTTTTTTGTTTTGTTTTGTTTTGTTGTTCTTTTGAGACAGGGTTTCTCTATGTAGTCCTGGCCATTTTGGAACTTGCTATGTAGACCAGGAGCTTCAAACTCACAGAGATCTATAGCCTCCTGGGTTCTGGGATTAAAAGCATGTGCCACCAGGATGTAAAATGGAGTTCTTAGTTGGTCTAAATAGTAAAAACCTGGAATCAGATAGAGAGGAAACTGCTGAGAGATCAGAGAGAGGAACAAGCCGAAGCCACCTTTACCTCATTAGCATCTCAGTGGCAAAGAGAGTTGAATTCCTGTTTCTTCCCACTTATATCCTCTCTCAGCCATATCCCTTCCTGTCTGTCTGTTCAGACCTCCTGACCTCTATGGTTAGCTAGTGGCAAGCTCTATCCTCTGATCTTCAGAAAAGCTTTATTTGTACAAGCAAGGTATCACTACACCAGGACCAGTCTTTAAAGATTGTTTTTTTTTTTTTTTTTGTTTGTTTGTTTTTTTTTCCTTGAGAGAGAGTTTTATGGAGTCTAGACTGGTTTTGAACTCCCTATGTATACAAGCATAACCTTGAACTTCTGACTTTCTGAGAACTATGGATATTGTAACTATAAGTATGAGCCAGAAAGTCTTGAAATACACTTATTCATTCTCTTTCTTATTTATTTTGGTTCTGGTTTCTTGAAACAGGATTTCTCTGTGTCTTAGCTGTCCCAGAATTTGCTCTGTAGACCAAGTAGGCCTCAAACTCACCAAGATCTACCTGTCTCTGCCTCCTGAGTGCTGGCATTAAAAGCATATGCCACCACTGCCCAGCTACTTATATCTCTTTATTTAGAATCCCAGACATCATTTGACCCTGAACCTAAGCTAAGGGGTGATAAAATGTGAATAGTAACAGCCACAGAACAAAACCCATTCTTAAATTCTAGACATTCCTTATATTACTACCTGATACACTTTATTTTACTGAGCTGAATCCAAAAAAAGAAAAGAAGGAGGTCATGTAGGAATGCATCTCTGACATATTGTGGCTCTGTATAAGTATGTGGATGGAACATGTTGAAGGGAGGTATGTGCACATGTATTCTCACATGTGGTTTTGGGACAAGATCTCAATTTGCAGCTCAGGCTGGTCTGAATATCGTGGAAATTCTCCTGTCTCAATCCGCCAGTGCTAGGATTACAGGCATGACCTACCACACCTGGCTCAAAGTATTGGTTCTTGGGGTCTGTTGTTTTAGATAGTCTCTAGCCCAGGCTAAACTCCCTATGACAGCAATTCTAACCTGTGGGTCAAAACCCTGTTGGGGGTTGAATGACCCTTTAATAGCGATTACATATGCTATATCCTGCACATCAGATTTATACTTATGATTCATAACAGTAGCAAAATTACAGTTATAAAGTACAATGAAAATAATTTTATGAGTGGGGGGGGTCACCACTACAAGAGGAATTTTTTATAGGGTCACAGCATTAGGGAGGGTAAGAACCACTGTTCTACATCGCTAAACATGACCATGACCTTCTGATCCTGCTGATTCTACCTCCCAAACGCTGGGATTATGGGTGTGACCATCCTGATTGAGCAGTGTAGTGAATCAAATCCAGAGCCTCCTTGCATGCTATGAAAGCACACTACAAACTGAGATACGTCCCCAACCCTTAGAGAATAGAATTTTTATGTAAAGGTACCTAGAGCCAAGCATGCTAACACATACACATAATTCCAGCTATTGGGAGGCTGCTGGGTCAGGAGGATGACTATGAGTTCTGGGGCAGTCTGAACTATAGTGTGAGACATTGTCTCAGAAGAACACAATGGGAGCCAGGCATGGTGGCACACATGGCTTTAGTGGCTTTAGTCCCAGCACTCAGGAGGCAGAGACTGGAGGATGTCTGAGTCCAAGGTCTATAATAAGTTCCAGCACAGCCAGGGCTATGTAGAGAGATACATCTCTCTCTCTCTCTCTCTCTCTCTCTCTCTCTCTCTCTCTCTCTCTCTCTCTCTCTCTCTCTCTAGCCTGGGCTGCCCTAGAACTCACTCTATAGAGCAGGATGGCCTTGAGTTCATAGAGATCCTACTGCCTCTGCCTCCCAAGTGCTGGGATAAAAGGCATGTGCCACCACTGCTTGGCTTGAGAGCCTATCTCAAAAAAACAAACAAATAAAACCAAAATGAAGCTGGGTGATGATGGCACACTCGGGAGGCAGAGGCAGACAAATCTCTGTGAGTTCAAAGCCAGCTTGGTCTGTCTACACAGTAAGTTCCAGGACAAGCTCCAAAGCTACACAAAGAAATCCTGACTTGAAAAACCAAAAATAAAACAAAACAAAACAACAACAACAAAAAACAATAACAACAACAACAAAAAGTGGAGAGAAGCTAGCAAGAGAAAACAGAAAGTACCTAGAATTAGAAGATGATAGCCCAAACATTGCCTTATTAAAAGCTGACCTAATTGGACTGAGGTATTTTTTGAAGTTAAGCTCATGGGTATCAGTATTAACTTTTTGTTGTTTTGTTTTGTGTGGGTTTTGGGTTGTTTTGTTTTTTGTTCTTTTGTTTTTTTTTGTTTTTTGTTTTTTGTTTTTTGTTTTTTTGAGACAGGGTTTCTCTGTGGCTTTGGAGCCTGTCCTGGAACTGGCTCTTGTGGACCAGGCTAGTCTCGAATTCACAGAGATCTGCCTGCCTCTGTTTCCGAGTGCTGGGATTAAAGGTGTGTGCCACCACGCCTGGCCTAACATTTTTTTTTTAATACCTAGAGAATTCCTGAATAAAATCCTTGAAATTTTGTCTTTCTTCTATCTTTGTCATTTATACATGGATCTCCACCATGAAAAATACTGGTAGTTTATGGCATGACTTAAGAGTGCAGATGTATTGTTAAAGAACAATAAGTTAGCCAAGCAATGATGGCACATGCCTTTAATCCAAGCACTTGGGAGGCTGAGGCAGGCAGATCTGAGTTAAAGGCCAGGCTAGTCTACAGAGCCAGTTCCAGGACAGTCATGGCTACACAGAGAACCCCTGCCCCCCCAAAAAAAACCCACAAAAAGGAGAACAAGTTTCTGCCACAAGTCTAACATCCTCTCAATATCATGTGCAGGGATCATGCATTTCCAGTCAGGTAGGAGGGGTGGGAGTGTGGCTTGGTGGTTAACTCTGGCCTGGCATGCACAAGCCCAAATACTCCCCCTGGCACCAAAGGAAAAGGCGTGGGTGACATCTCTCTTCCTGTGTCCCCAGGTCCATTCAGACTTCTTACTACCTAAAAGGCTTTTTTTTCCCCTCTCTCCCTTACAACATAGTATTAATACTCTTGGGACAGTTAAGAATTTCATGACACTAAAAAGATTGAATTGCTTTTAGAAAGTACCATTAAGCAAATATTAGACAATGTTCATATGTAAATCTCAACTTTGCTGCTATCAACTCTTAATTTTTTAATTTTTTTTACATATCTATGTCAAACCACATCTTACCTGGATTACACTGTAACTGAAAACTAAGCATTTTCTAAAAATTAGTAATAACAAGTGACCTTATGTTTAAATTGCTAGTGGGTAAAGTGTTTGAATGGATTCCCTGAGCAGGTTTCCTGGACAGCAGCTTCTTCCTGTAGAAGCTCCAGGTTGTTGCTGTGACCTCTTCTGCCATTTCTCAGGCTCTTCTCACCTGGACACTAGAGTGTTCCCAGGACTCTGGATGCCACTCACTTTTGAGTGACTCAGCCTATGCCCAGCAACTTGTATTTTAAAATAAGTATTTGAACTGTGCCTGGTGGTACAGGACTCTAACTAGCTTCCTGGGAGGCCGAGACTATAAATACGGTACACAAACACATGCCCACATGCACATACACACATCTGTACATGCAAAACATTCCTGTAATATAAGCACATCTTTTTAAAAAGAAAGAAATTTTACCCATAAAATTCTAGCTAGATTCTAGCTAGAAGTCTTGCTACTGACAGCTTTTATACTTCATTCAAATCCTTGAGTTTCAGAGTGACTTGCTGAGTGAGGAGATGGAGCAGACAAAATAACAGCACTGGATTGTGTCCATATCCTCTTTCCTGGGACCCATGAATGCTACCTACGCCCAAAGAGACTTCCTAGATATGCCTAAATTAAGGCTCCTGAATGGGCATGTGACTTGGGTTATAAAGGTGAAAGACATATGATCTCAAGGGCCCTCATAAGGGAAGAGAAGGCCATGTGACTGGAGAAACAGAATTAGAGTGCTAAATGTGTGTGTGTGTGTGTGTGTCTGTGTGTGTGTGGGCACACACACACACAGACACACACACACACACAAAGAAGAAAGAAATTGAAATGATGTACTTGGATGATGGAGGACAGGCTGAGAGCCAAGGAGGGCAAGTAGCCACTGGGACACAGCTAAAAGAATGATCTGATACTTAGGATTTTTTTTAAAGCTTTGTATTCTATGACACATCCTGGAGGACCACAAAACAAGGGAATCAATAAATAGTAATATTCTGTGTTTGCTGTTAATTTTGTCAGGTGTTAACACAATCTGAGTGTTGAGTTTCTGTTTGAGCCAAAGTGCGTTTACTTGTTAAGCCCGGCTGTCACCAGTGTGCATCGGGTAATGTCTACTTCTAACCACTGATAAGTGTAAACTGTAAGCAAGCAAAATTGTAGCAGGTCTGAACACTTTGAAGATCCGGATTCTGCTAAAAAGTAAACACTCAGGGCTGTTCTGGTTCCACTGTGTGTCTAGGATTTGCTTAGTACTCCTCTTAAAAAGTCCTGTAGCTGGCCCCCATGGTGGCGAACACCTTTGATCCCAGCACTCTGGAGGAGGAGGCAGATAGATGGATCTCAGTGAGTTCCAGCCAGCTTGGTCTACAGAGTGAGTTCTAAGACAGCCAAGACTGTTAAACAGAGAAGCCCTGTCAAAAAAAAAAAAAAAAAAAAAAAAAAAAAAAAAAAAAAAAAGAAAGAAAGAAAGAAAAAGAAAGAAAAGAAAAGAAAAAGGAAAACCATACAGCAGTGTATGTTGATAGTCTGCTACAAAAAGGCATGCCACGTCCTGAGGACGGCCACAGCACTCTTCAGCAGTCCTGATCTTAATGTTCTTTCTGCCCCCATTCCACAAGTACCCTGAGCCTCGGAGACTGGGAATTCAACAAACACTAGTGTTCTTCAACATTTCATAAGACTTTAGGTAAACCCAGCCTAAAAGCCTCTCCTTCTAGAACTCCTAGTCTCTTAAATTTGGCCAAGAAAAAAAAAAAAGATTTTAACATTCTCTCCTTGGATGTCTACACACACACACAATGTCTACACACGCACAACACACACACACACACACACACACACACACACACACACACACACACCCCATGGGATGGATCAAACACTAAGGGCCTCCCTCCTTGTTGGATGACCAGACCAGACCAAACCACAAGATGGGTTAATCAGTGATGTCTTCACAGAAAATTGTTCTGAGACATGGAAGGAAAGAATGATCAAAATGGAGTGGTTTATGGCTCCTGAGAATAATTCCTCACACAGAACCCTGTAAATAACACACACACACACACACACACACACACACACACACACACACACACACTCACTATGTCACTGTATCATTAAAAATAAAGCTAGGTGTAGTGACTCATGCCTTTAATCTCAGCACTCAGGAAGCTGAGGCAAACAGATCTCTGTGAGTTCCAGGCCTTCCATGGCTGCAAGACTCTGACTCAATCATGATAATGATAATAATGAGGAGAAAAGAAACCTTCCCGTGATGAACATGGGCTTTAGAAATGCATGACTGCTGAGCCAGCTCTATAGAAGACACCTGAAGAGATTCTTTGGAATGAAGAGAAAAGTAAACCATCCACCTGGCCACAGGGAAGAATAAACCACTCTTGAATAAATTAAACAAGAGCCAGGCAGTGGTGGCACACACCTTTAGTCCCAGCACTTGGAAGACAGAGGCAGGCAGATCTCTAACTTTGAGTTCGAGGTCAACCTGGTCTACAGAGTGAATTCCAGACAGCCAGGACTACAGACAGAGAAACTTTGTCTTGAAAAACAAAACCAAAAGTTAAGCAAGAGAGGAATAGCAAAGCACCAAATACTATAAAATCAATAAAATGATAGGAAATAATACTCACTTCTTAATAACTCTAAATACTGATAGTCTTGATTTCTGTTCAAAGACACAGACTAGCAGAATGGATTAGGGGACAGGAACTATCCATTTGATGTCCCTACGAAATACCTCACCATGAAAGATAGATGATGCCTTAGATTGGAAGGATGAAAAAAAATGTATCCAAGCAAATGGAACTAGGACACAAGGAATCCTCACTGTTCAAGACCTGACAAAGCAGACAGCAGAGGAAAAACAGGCTCTTCATACTAATTAGTGAGCCACACATCAATAGTACATTGTAATACTAAACATAAACATGCCAAACATGAGTGTACTTAATTCCACAAATATTATTACTTTAGCATAGTAAGGGTGGGTGAATTGAACACCCTACTCACTTAATTGATGTTACATCATTCTACACAGCTACATCTCCACTCCAAAAACTTTTCATTGCACTCTGGAGAATTGAAGGCTCTGAAACACAAATGGTGAGTTCTACAACAGGAGGGCCAGGGAATGGGAACAGTGTTGAAATATTGTCCATCGAAGTAGATGTTCTTCTTGTGCTGTAGGAGACTCAATGCCAGGAATCTGATTCAAAGGCAGGTAGAGGGCCAGTCCCAAGTCACCCAGGAATGAACCCCAACAAGAATCACATCCCCTGTCCCTCTATCCTTATGGCCCCCAGTGAGGTGACAAGGATAAGGCAGGAGTTTCTTTGTAGATTTTTATTTCATTTCACATATCTCTTATTCCGTAGAGAAAAATGTATACACCCCTAACACTGCAAGATTCAAAAGTTTAGAGAAAACACAAGACTCTCCATTTGTCTTCACTGAGAGCATTGGTTATTATCAGAAGCTGACCACGGCTGATGAAGGATTGTGTCTCCCAGGGAAAAAGGCAAGAAATAGGTGTGCAATTGCCAATGGATACCTGGGGTTCCAAGGAACCCAAATGGGAACCAGGGAATCCTCCCTGAACATCATCAGTGATGGATACCCTTGAGGCTCTCCCCAAGGTAAAGACGTGCCATAATCCCAAGCCTAATACACAGGAGAAAGCAGTGCCATTGGCAATTGACGGTATATTGACATCAGGGGTTTACCAACCCAATCATAGAAAGGATCTGCAAGGAAAAGAAACAGAGAGATCAAAAGCTTGGCACACACACATTCACTAAATAACATTAATTGCCTATCCTGTGTGTCCTAGTCGACTATAAACATGTTCAAATTCCATTCCCGGGAGGTGACAGGGGAAGAGTGGCAGACATAGAGGACCGAATTTCCAACCAGAAAGGGGCTTCCATACAGTGTGTGATGTGCTCTATGCTCAACAATGACAGGCCACCTGATGTCACAACCAAGAGGGCTTCAGAAGACAAACTAGAAAGGACTAACCTGGGAAGTGGCTTTCCTGGGGCCTGGGGCCCAGGATAAGGAGAAAACAAGGGTTCTGTCCTGGGTCTCTCGCTACATAGTTTCCTGTGCAGATACTGCAGACTGACCAGCAGGTCGAAACAGCTTTGCCATGACTTCTTCAGGCCCCTGTGAAAGAGTCGCTGGCAAAGAGCCCTGGTCTTCTTGTGAATTTTTCTGCCTGGGTGGCCTATTTCCACTTCTACTACTTCCCACTCCTGCAGGAAGATCCTGATGTCAGGGTCAGTCCATCTGCTCCGAGAAGGCCCTGCAAGGACCTAATTCAACAATGGCTGTCAATGAACAGAAGTTCCGAGAATCCAGTAGTCGTTGTTCCCCGAGGAGGAATGTCTCAACTGCTCTTTAGTATTTGTCACATCTAAAAGAAGTAGACTCTAAGACAGTGTTTCTCGCCTGTCAAATCTGAAAATCTTTCATACGGTTCCTCCTGTTGTGTTGATTCTTAATCCTACACTTTTTCATTGCTGCTTCATAACTGTGTATTTACTACCATTGTGAAATATAAAGTATATAAGTGTATTTTGCCATATTTTAGAACATAATTGTCTTTTCACCTCATGAGGGGTTCCCAAACACTGGGTGTCAAACATCTCTCTAATGCCACCCAAGGGATGGATTTGCCATCCCGGGCCATACCTCGTAGGCAAAAGAGAGAAACTTTGGAGCAGTCACCTTGAGCAGCTGGAGTGCCTGAGCCGAGCAGTGGCTGCAGGGGAGTGGGGGTGCAGATTGGAAAATGCAGACCACCAAGGCACTGCTCTTTACTCCAGGTCGGATCCACTCCTGTACCAGGGGTCTAATCAGACCTGTGTCTGCCTCCCTCCTGAGTAGGACAGAGGCCCTGTCTAAACAGCCTTCCAGTAGCAGCTCCCCTACTCCAGGGGGCCAGACGGGAATTGCAGACCAGTGTTGTGTCCCTGGACATTGACACAGCTGCCAAGGCTATTGGTGCTGGGGCTGCCACAGTTGGTATGGCTGGCTCAGGGACGGGCATTTGAACAGTGTTTGCTAGCTTGATTACTGGCTATGCCAGGAAGCCATCTCTCAGGCAACAGCTCTTCTCCTATGCCGTTCTGAGCTTAGCCCTGTGAGGCCATGGGGCTCTTCTGTTTGATGGTAGCCTTCCTCATCCTCTTCGCCATGTGAGTTGAGGCTCCATGGGGTCAGCCAGCCATCCATGCTGCTTGGACTCCAGGCCAGGCCTGGTGCTGGAGTGTGCTAACTTTTACCATTAAACAATTTTTGTCAAAAAAAAAAAAAAAAAAAAAAAAAAAAAACAGAGGAAAGAGAGAGAGAGAGAGAGAGAGAGAGAGAGAGAGAGAGAGAGAGAGAGAGAGACTTTGTCCTTCAGGTCCATTCACACATTTCCATTATGAAATCTGGCCCAAGGTAGAGGTGTGACATATCCCCTCAATACACCTGGACTAAATGAGTGTCTCATACCTTGTTGTAGAAATGGCTTCTGTAGCAGGGAAGACACACCATGAGCAAGGCAACCCTTATGAGCAAGGAAATCCCTTAGTGGGGTGTCTCACTTAGTGGTCAATGGGTTTAGTCCATTGTCACCATGGTGACATACAAACCTGCATGTTGCTGGCTACAACTTGGTCAAAGACAACAGAGAACGAACTGTGACGTTCAGCTAAGCATAAGCACAACAGACTCCAAAGCCTGCCCCCACAGTGACACACTTCCTTCAACAAGACCACACCTCTCAATGGAGGCAGAGGCTAAGAGATTATGGGGAAAATTACATTCAACCTACCACAAACCTCAATCATCCTCATAAGAAGTGAAACTTCCCCCATCCAGAGGACAGACCCCCATCGAGGAGATGCCCAGCCATTTGGGGATTTTAACTACTGGTAGATGTAGTCAAGTACACCATAATTCCACCCCTTTTCAATTTGATACACAATTAGGTCACCTTATGACATGCTGAAGTCCAAAACATTAACCAGCTCATACCTACATGAAAAGAGTCATTGTATGAAATAACTCTAATGTGTTTATGTATAATGGCCATAGAACTATACGGCCAAGAATGACAACAACATTATATACTTAAGGAGATCATAGTTGGCCCTGACGTATTACAAATGTGACCCCTAAGATGCAAAAGCATTATTTGAGACCTAGATCAAAGGATCAGCAGCCTATAATTCACACCACCAGAGGAGATTCACATAAAGTCCCTCACAGAACGGGGGAAGGGACAAGTCCCCCAGAGCACAGGGGAAGTGGGGGGGGCAGCAAATGGAGAAAGAATTAGGAGAAAACAAGGGGTAGGAAAGGAAAACATGTGCGTCCAGGAAGATTGAACCCGGTTAGGAATAGAAGACAGGAGACAGAGAGAGAGAGAGAGAGAGAGAGAGAGAGAGAGAGAGAGAGAGAGAGAGAGAGAGAGATCATAAAAGAGGGAGCCAATAATGGTTGAAGATAAAATTGAACCCAAAGAAAAGTCTAGAGAAATACAAGACTGCTGCCAACTAACAATCTGAGTTTCCGTGGATAGGCTACCATAAATGCCCTTCCCGGAGAGTGAGATCAACAACTAACTTCTCCATGGAGCCCTCAACTATTGCCTGATGGAAACACGACCAAACACCCATACATAAACCCTGAGTGGAAGTAGAACCCAGATGCAGATGGAGAGGACAAGACCAGCTGGCAGAAACACAAAGAGACAGCTTACCTGAACAAGGAGGAGCTAACGGGCCACCAGACTGATAGCTGGGAAGCCAGCAGGGGACTGACTCAGGCCCCCCCTGAATATGGGTCTCAGCCAGAAGGACTGAACAGTCTAAGGGACCTCAGACAGTGGAGCCAGGAAGTATCCCTGGTGCACAAAAGGACCTTGAGAACACATCCCCCAAGGAGGGATAACTGCCTTAATCTAGAGTCAGGACAGAAGCCCTAGTCCCTACTTCACATGACCTGTCAGATCTACATGACCCCAACTGGATGGCATTCCCCTACATATGGAATTGGGGTGAGGGGATGGGAGGGGAGGGTGGTTAGAGTGCATGTGAGAGGGCAGAGAGGGTAATGGGGAGGGAGGAAGGGAGGGAGGGCCGGTGGGAGAGAGGGAGAGGGAACTGGGATCGACATGTAAAATAATAAATTAAATTAAAAAAATGCTTTGACTCCAAAATTTAAGTTCAAGGACAAGTTACTGGGGATAAGGACTTCTATTTTTGTTTCCACAGAAAATGAAAAGATGTGGATTCCTTCCAGACTAATGTGGTTTGATCAAGCCACACCACCTGAAACAGAGTACCTACCAGGTGATCCTACATTCAAAACAGCTGGACAACGCAGCCTTACAGACTACAGCCAGGATTTCTGGGTCTTCTTCAAATCCCCTTGACAGCGCCCCTTACCAGCAAGAAGTAGTTTGGAAAGAACGACGCCCAAATTCCCAAATATTGTCTATAAATGTTTGCTTTCATTTAAATCAACTTGGTTATATAAAAGAAATAAAAAAAAATGCAAAAGCATTTTCAATTCACACTGGATGACAATGTCGCTGGTGGACATTATTTTATATCTGATTCTTAACTGTGATAGCTTCCCCTTCATCTGAGTAAAACCACTTCTATACCCATATCCGTATCATCTCAGTCTGGTTTCCCTTGCACACTGGGCAACGGGAGGCTTGGAAACAAAGACTTTGAGTTCTACAGCTGAAGGGCTACAGAATGGAAACTCTGATGAGGTACTGTCCATCAGAGAGACATGCAGATGTGGTACAGGAGTCTGAGTACAAGAGTCCCATGCAGAAAGAGAGTACTAGAATCAACCTCCTCCAAGCCCCCATCCCCTGCTGCTCTATCCTCATGGCCCACACTGAAATGACAAGGATGAGGCGGGAGTGATTTTATTGACCTTTATTTGATTCCACCTTTGTCTGCATATAGGAGGCAGACAAAGATGCGTACACATACAACACATAGGGTCCTCGTGTTTCTAGAGAAAACACAGCAATCTCCACTGAATTCCCTGAGGGCCTTGGGTGTCATCAGGAGTCAAGCACTGTTGGTTGACACTGGAGTCTCTAGGACGGGAGCAGGAAGGGGTTGTGCAGCCGAAAAGAAGGCTGGATGGCCGGAATGCCCACAAGACATCATAGACCATTGGTAGCCTTGAAGCCTTGGAGAAGGTGCAGGTAAGCCATAATGGCAAGGCTGGTACGGGGCAGATGGTATCACCATTGGAAGTTGAGGGTCCATCGGATACAGGGGGTAACCAGCTCCATATTTGGGAGGCCCTGCCAAGAGAAGAAACTCAGTGAGATCATGAGCATGGCACCACAGTTGGCCCTATTCACCCTCAGCAACTGCCTGGCTCCCGTCTCTCGGTCTGCTATGAACAAGTCCCAATTCCATTGCCTGGGGTGAAAGACAAGGTCAGACACACAGGGCACAGACTTTCCCACCATGGGCCACGGAAGCTGTAGGAATGGGGCTTGCCTGCATCCTGTGCTATCCCCAGTGGGTGCCCACCACAGAGAGGCCAGCTGATTCCACACTCAAGGGCATTCCCTGGACCGTCCCCAAGAAACTTACCTGGGAAATAGCTTCCCTGGGGTCTATGGCCCAGGATCCTATACAGGGCCTCGGCATACGGAGAAAACAAGGGTTCTGTCCTGGGTCTCTCGCTACATAGTTTCCTGTGCAGATACTGCAGACTGACCAGCAGGTCGAAACAGCTTTGCCATGACTTCTTCAGGCCCCTGTGAAAGAGTCGCTGGCAAAGAGCCCTGGTCTTCTTGTGAATTTTTCTGCCTGGGTGGCCTATTTCCGCTTCTACCACTTCCCACTCCTGCAGGAAGATCCTGATGTCAGGGTCAGTCCATCTGCTCCGGGAAGGCCCTGCAAGGACAGGAAGGGGGTCACTATTGTGAACACAGCATGCAGGTGTACCGCTGAACTCTTCCTGGGAAATCTTCCTGCTCACTCACTAGCCACGAGTCCCCTAACTCACTCCAGGACTTGGCATCCACCCTGACCGCAGTGCCAAGCAATGTCCTCCCTCGGGATGAGTAGGTACCCTCGCCTTTGGAGATTAAACATCAGAACAGGAGGGGCAGTCGCGGGCCTAGCTGACTGGGGACGCTGTCCCTGTATACACTGACAGCCACCGTTCCACCTATCATTTTGGAGACTCTGTGCAGCTGGGGAGATGGCCAGCTACCTGGCACCACTGGCTGTCCCTCTCTGTCCATCACAGCTGTCCCCATCTTGACTCATGCATAGACCAGTAAGTCACTGAAAAAACACACCGTCTAGAAGGATTTGGATTTAGCACAGGTTTGCATACAAGTACCTGAGAGTGTTGGCCCTTGCTGCTGCACACTCTGCTCCATCCTAGCTTCTCCTCTGCTGTTTCTCAAACTTGTCAATTGGGGTTCTTTTCTCTGTTCACAAATGAATAAATAAATTATTAATCATTTTCATGCAACTTTCTAAGCTGTCCCTGCATCAAGGAACCAACCCCTCGCAACAGCATCCAATCAAAAGACTCCACATTCCTCACCTACAGGTGCTGGTACATACATTCTCACCTAATGGGAAGCTTGGTCATCAAATTGGACCAAGCAATGCCTCCAGTGAAGCCTGAGGTGCCCCCTGTGGAAGGGACAGATAAGAAACAGAAGGGCCTGTCCTTTGACAGGACCTCACCCATTCTCTCCTGCTCACATTCTACCCCCCAAATCTTCTGCATTATCCTGCTGCTAAAATACCTCTAGAGTCTCCTGATGAACCCCAGCTGGTTGTCCGGACATATACAGGTTATCAGAGGAAAGATGTCAACCCACAATTTTTCATCTGCTATCGCATGGCATGGGTGTTTGGCCGGTAGCTATAATCCTGGCTCTTTCACAAGAGGACAGGGAGATTCTACACTTCAGGGTAATCCTTGACTACACAGTAGGTTGTGGGCAAGCCTCGGACAAAGAAGAATCTGCCTTGAGGCAGAGGTGCTGCCCGCCTTTAATCCCAGCACTCGGGAGTCAGACCCTGGTTGACCTCTGTGAACTCAAGCACATCCATGTCCACAGAGCAAGTTCCAGGACAGCCAAGGCTGCGCCACAGAGAAAACATCCCACAAACCCCCTAACAAGAAAACACACACACACACACACATACACAATAAGTGGGATTGGAGATAGTTTAGCAGTTAAGTGCATTGGCAGTTATTTCACAGGGCCTGATTTCACTTCTCAGTAACCACATGGAGGCTTGCAGCCATTTATAATGGGATCTGATGCCCTCTTCTGGGAAGCAAAAAGTCTAAAAAACAAAACAAAACAAAAAAGAAAAACAAAAAACAACAACAACACAAAAAGGCCTGTCGGTGTCACATGCCTTTAATCCCAGCACTCAGGAGGCAGAGACTGGCAGATCTCTGTGAGTATGAGGACAGCATTGTCTACAGGACTAGTTCCAAGACAGCCTCCAAAGCTACAGAGAATCCCTGTCTTTTAAAAACGGAACAAAACAAACAAACAAACAAAAAAACAATCTGCCAAGACAAACATAAAAAAACAAATAATCCCAAGAAAACAAGGATCACTGGCTTTTGTAATTGCAGAAATGTGTTCCCGTTTAAGGCAGTTACCCACGTTTCCTTGCCTGTACAATGAACAGAGAACCAACACCTCCAATGGGGCATACTACTACTCCTGGTTCATTTCACCTCACTCCATGTGGAGTGGAGAAGCATGCCAGAGACACAGTTTAAGGCTATAAACCTCCTGGGATGGATTGAAAAACAAACATTCCAGCCATCCTCCAGAAAACACCAGACTGGATGACCTGGACCTTACGTACATTTTCCCTTCTGAGCTCTCTTGTGGTCCACAGAATCAGGAAACCAGTGTTCTGTAGGTGCTGCTGGGTGCCACAGAGTCTGGAGTGTGCAGTGTGGAGGGAGGGTTCTGTTCACTGCCCGAGCTCCAAGAGGTCTGGGAACCCGATGGAGATCTGACCCTTTATAAAGCTCTTGGTAGGCTCGAATCTGGCCACGCCTGACTAGATTCCAGGGTGTGTCAACAGAGTATAACAGCAGCTTTGCATCCCATCTCAGGAGGCTGAGACAGGAGGGATGCCCAAGTTTCTAGCATTCTTAGGTTAGACCTCCTTGAGAACCACACAGTCTCCATTAAAAGCTATCAAACAAGCGCAGGAAACATAGGCAAATAGTTTCAATGTCTTCTTTGAAGCAGCTTTTTGGTTTTTCATAGCACATTTATTAAATATCTTCACTTCATGTAAACTGTGATTGAAACCTGAGATGTACAGAAAGTTTGGAACTTCTCTATCAAAGGGCCAAAAAGAGAAATAGTGAAGGAGGCTAAGAGATCATCAGGAAGCATGGCCCGAGGAAGAGACAGGAATGGTGAACACTGGGGCCTTCTATATGGAGGCGACACTGGATGGGCCCAGTTTGTGCAAAACTGTCACAACTCAACACGTGTGTCAAGGACGCTTCTCTCGCCTACAGAAGCATGAGAGTTGCCTCAGCTAGCTCAGTGTTTGTCACCTAGTCGGACAAGAGCCCTCTCCAGAAAGAATGGCCCTGACACAGGCATGGCCTGTTATTTACTTTATGGATTATAAGATGATTTAACACAGTGGCAAAATACACCTAGAAAGGAGCAACTTATGTGAATTTAGGTTTGGGCTGGGAGGTCACCACACCCTGAAGAACTGTATTTATGGGTAGAGTCATCGGCGAGGGTGAGGACAACTGGTCTACCCCTTGAGATGTGCTCTTTCCACGCTGTGTTCACTTTAATGCAAGGGATCTCACAGGACCACGTGGACAATGCCATAACCAGTGAAAGGAAGCATCATTCTCAAGTCTAGGGAAAAGAGTCATTATTTTACTTGGTGGGTTTTCTTGTTGTGAGTGAGGATCTTGAGACAGTAACTCTCATATCCCAAGATACAGTGAAACCCTCTTTGTAGACAAGAATGAGCATGAATCCCTGCTCAATTTCCCTTGGTTTGCCTGTTGCTAGGATGATCTACTCACTCCTGTCATATCATAGTACAGGGCTCATGGAAAGAACAAAGTTGGCAAGAGACTTTAAGGTGGATTTTAATCACCAGGACAAGAGTAATTCACCAGGCCAGGCCTAGAATGAAGAGCTCCTACCTATGGAATTGCGATTCCCTGGATCCCTGAGCCTACAATTCCTCCAGTAGTACCCGATGACCTTGTACCCCTCTTATCCCTTTCCCCGGTGATCTGATCTCTGCCCACCCACAGACACAGCATCTGTGCAAAGTACCATGAAAAACAGTTATGATGTGAGCCCCCTATAAGAAGATCCTTGATAGGTAGCCAATATCCCAAGAAATCTCTCTTTTGGTTTTTGTTTTGTTTTGTTTTCAGATGTTGATTTCCGGAGGTTTCTAGCATGACTCACTGACAATGGCTATGTGTGGTGTGCTAGAGTTCCCTACAATAACTGAAATTTAGCATTATTCTTTCCCTATACGTGTGTGTGTATGTCTTTTAGTCAGGGTTTTCTACATTCACCAACATTAGGGGACATATACACATATGTGAGTGAGTGAGTGAGTGAGTGTGTGTCTTTCTGCGTGTCATTTTTTAGACAGGCTGCTGTCAAAATCATGTGATCCCTAGATGTGAATGGAAAGTAGGAGAATGTAGAGTTTACTTGGCCATTTGGGCCGGGTTGTCTCAGCTATTCATCTGTATATGCTGAAACTGGATAAGTAGGTCCAATATCACTGAAGGAATAGATGTACTGCCAGGTTCAGGCCAAACAGACATGAAAATAGGAATCGATCCTCATTTGATTGAGTTTATATTGGTTTCCAGCTGAAGCTGAGAGCCTGATTAAAGGTGTGCCTTTCCTTTTCAGGATTTGGATTAAAGGCGTGTCTTGTCCCACTTACAGGCCTTGATCTAAAGCCTGTGTCTTCCCAGCTCAGTATAGGGATCAAAGGGGAGTCCTTCAATTCTGAATTTGTAATTCATTTGGAATAAAGTCAAATTTACAACTACGAGGAGTCAACAGTGTGTGTGTGTGTGCGGGGGTGGGGGAGGGTTCGTATTCCTGTGTTTATGTGTGTTTGTCTATGTGCCTGTCTCTTGGTATAATGTGTATGTTTATGGATGTAGATATGTGTAAGTGTGTGTATGTGTATGTGTATATATCCGGTATGAAAAGAACCACATAAAGGCAGCTAATCCAACAATGGCTGCCTATGGACAGAAGGTCTGAGAATCCAGTAGTCGTTGTTCCCCGAGGAGGAATGTCTCAACTGCTCTTTAGTATTTGTCACATCTGAAAGAAGTAGACTCTAAGACAGTGTTTCTCACCTTTCAAATGTGAAAATCTTTCATGCGGCTCCTCATGTTATGTTGATTCTTAATCCTACACCTTTTCATTGCTGCTTCATAACTGTGTATTTGCTACCATTGTGAAATATAAAGTATATAAGTGTATTTTGCCATATTTTAGAACATAATTGTCTTTTCACCTCATGAGGGGTTCCCAAACACTGGGTGTCAAACATCTCTCTAATGCCACCCAAGGGATGGATTTGCCATCCCGGGCCATACCTCGTAGGCAAAAGAGAGAAACTTTGGGTCAGTCACCTTGAGCAGCTGGAGTGCCTGAGCCGAGCAAGGGCTGCAGGGGAGTGGGGGTGCAGATTGGAAAATGCAGACCACCAAGGCACTGCTCTTTACTCCAGGTCGGATCCACTCCTGTACCAGGGGTCGAATCAGACCTGTGTCTGTCTCCCTCCTGAGTAGGACAGAGGCCCTGTCTAAACAGCCTTCCAGTAGCAGCTCCCCTACTCCAGGGGGCCAGACGGGAATTGCAGACCAGTGTTGTGTCCCTGGACATTGACACAGCTGCCAAGGCTATTGGTGCTGGGGCTGCCACAGTTGGTATGACTGGCTCAGGGACGGGCATTTGAACAGTGTTTGCTAGCTTGATTACTGGCTATGCCAGGAAGCCATCTCTCAGGCAACAGCTCTTCTCCTATGCCGTTCTGAGCTTAGCCCTGTGAGGCCATGGGGCTCTTCTGTTTGATGGTAGCCTTCCTCATCCTCTTCGCCATGTGAGTTGAGGCTCCATGGGGTCAGCCAGCCATCCATGCTGCTTGGACTCCAGGCCAGGCCTGGTGCTGGAGTGTGCTAACTTTTACCATTAAACATTTTTTGTCAAAAAAACAAAACAGAGGTAAGAGTGAAGGGGGAGAGAGAGAGAGAGAGAGAGAGAGAGAGAGAGAGAGAGAGAGAGAGAGAGAGACATTGTCCTTCAGGTCCATTCACACATTTCCATTATGAAATCTGGCCCATGTGAGAGGTGTGACATTTCCCTTCAATACACCTGGACTAAATGAGTGTCTCATACCTTGTTGTAGAAATGGCTTCTGTAGCAGGGAAGACACACCATGAGCAAGGCAACCCTTATGAGCAAGGAAATCCCTTAGTGGGGTGTCTCACTTAGTGGTCAATGGGTTTAGTCCATTGTCACCATGGTGACATACAAACCTGCATGTTGCTGGCTACAACTTGGTCAAAGACAACAGAGAACGAACTGTGACGTTCAGCTAAGCATAAGCACAACAGACTCCAAAGCCTGCCCCCACAGTGACACACTTCCTTCAACAAGACCACACCTCTCAATGGAGGCAGAGGCTAAGAGATTATGGGGAAAATTACATTCAACCTACCACAAACCTCAATCATCCTCATAAGAAGTGAAACTTCCCCCATCCAGAGGACAGACCCCCATCGAGGAGATGCCCAGCCATTTGGGGATTTTAACTACTGGTAGATGTAGTCAAGTACACCATAATTCCACCCCTTTTCAATTTGATACACAATTAGGTCACCTTATGACATGCTGAAGTCCAAAACATTAACCAGCTCATACCTACATGAAAAGAGTCATTGTATGAAATAACTCTAATGTGTTTATGTATAATGGCCATAGAACTATACGGCCAAGAATGACAACAACATTATATACTTAAGGAGATCATAGTTGGCCCTGACGTATTACAAATGTGACCCCTAAGATGCAAAAGCATTATTTGAGACCTAGATCAAAGGATCAGCAGCCCATAATTCACACCACCAGAGGAGATTCACATAAAGTCCCTCACAGAACGGGGAAGGGACAAGTCCCCCAGAGCACAGGGGAAGTGGGGGGGGCAGCAAATGGAGAAAGAATTAGGAGAAAACAAGGGGTAGGAAAGGAAAACATGTGTGTCCAGGAAGATTGAACCCGGTTAGGAATAGAAGACAGGAGACAGAGAGAGAGAGAGAGAGAGAGAGAGAGAGAGAGATCATAAAAGAGGGAGCCAATAATGGTTGAAGATAAAATTGAACCCAAAGAAAGGTCTAGAGAAATACAAGACTGCTGCCAACTAACAATCTGAGTTTCTGTGGATAGGCTACCATAAATGCCCTTCCCGGAGAGTGAGATCAACAACTAACTTCTCCATGGAGCCCTCAACTAATGCCTGATGGAAACAGGAGCAAACACCCATACATAAACCCTGAGTGGAAGTAGAACCCAGATGCAGATGGAGAGGACAAGACCAGCTGGCAGAAACACAAAGAGACAGATTACCTGAACAAGGAGGAGCTAAAGGGCCACCAGACTGATAGCTGGGAAGCCAGCAGGGGACTGACTCAGGCCCCCCCTGAATATGGGTCTCAGCCAGAAGGACTGAACAGTCTAAGGGACCTCAGACAGTGGAGCCAGGAAGTATCCCTGGTGCACAAAAGGACCTTGAGAACACATCCCCCAAGGAGGGATAACTGCCTTAATCTAGAGGCAGGACAGAAGCCCTAGTCCCTACTTCACATGACCTGTCAGATCTACATGACCCCAACTGGATGGCATTCCCCTACATATGGAATTGGGGTGAGGGGATGGGAGGGGAGGGTGGTTAGAGTGCATGTGAGAGGGCAGAGAGGGTAATGGGGAGGGAGGAAGGGAGGGAGGGCCGGAGGGAGAGAGGGAGAGAGGGAGAGGGAACTGGGATCGACATGTAAAATAATAAATTAAATTTAAAAAATGCTTTGACTCCAAAATTTAAGTTCAAGGACAAGTTACTGGGGATAAGGACTTCTATTTTTGTTTCCACAGAAAATGAAAAGATGTGGATTCCTTCCAGACTAATGTGGTTTGATCAAGCCACACCACCTGAAACAGAGTACCTACCAGGTGATCCTACATTCAAAACAGCTGGACAACGCAGCCTTACAGACTACAGCCAGGATTTCTGGGTCTTCTTCAAATCCCCTTGACAGCGCCCCTTACCAGCAAGAAGTAGTTTGGAAAGAACGACGCCCAAATTCCCAAATATTGTCTATAAATGTTTGTTTTCATTTAAATCAACTTGGTTATATAAAAGAAATAAAAAAAAATGCAAAAGCATTTTCAATTCACACTGGATGACAATGTCGCTGGTGGACATTATTTTATATCTGATTCTTAACTGTGATAGCTTCCCCTTCATCTGAGTAAAACCACTTCTATACCCATATCCGTATCATCTCAGTCTGGTTTCCCTTGCACACTGGGCAACGGGAGGCTTGGAAACAAAGACTTTGAGTTCTACAGCTGAAGGGCTACAGAATGGAAACTCTGATGAGGTACTGTCCATCAGAGAGACATGCAGATGTGGTACAGGAGTCTGAGTACAAGAGTCCCATGCAGAAAGAGAGTACTAGAATCAACCTCCTCCAAGCCCCCATCCCCTGCTGCTCTATCCTCATGGCCCACACTGAAATGACAAGGATGAGGCGGGAGTGATTTTATTGACCTTTATTTGATTCCACCTTTGTCTGCATATAGGAGGCAGACAAAGATGCGTACACATACAACACATAGGGTCCTCGTGTTTCTAGAGAAAACACAGCAATCTCCACTGAATTCCCTGAGGGCCTTGGGTGTCATCAGGAGTCAAGCACTGTTGGTTGACACTGGAGTCTCTAGGACGGGAGCAGGAAGGGGTTGTGCAGCCGAAAAGAAGGCTGGATGGCCGGAATGCCCACAAGACATCATAGACCATTGGTAGCCTTGAAGCCTTGGAGAAGGTGCAGGTAAGCCATAATGGCAAGGCTGGTACGGGGCAGATGGTATCACCATTGGAAGTTGAGGGTCCATCGGATACAGGGGGTAACCAGCTCCATATTTGGGAGGCCCTGCCAAGAGAAGAAACTCAGTGAGATCATGAGCATGGCACCACAGTTGGCCCTATTCACCCTCAGCAACTGCCTGGCTCCCGTCTCTCGGTCTGCTATGAACAAGTCCCAATTCCATTGCCTGGGGTGAAAGACAAGGTCAGACACACAGGGCACAGACTTTCCCACCATGGGCCACGGAAGCTGTAGGAATGGGGCTTGCCTGCATCCTGTGCTATCCCCAGTGGGTGCCCACCACAGAGAGGCCAGCTGATTCCACACTCAAGGGCATTCCCTGGACCGTCCCCAAGAAACTTACCTGGGAAATAGCTTCCCTGGGGTCTATGGCCCAGGATCCTATACAGGGCCTCGGCATACGGAGAAAACAAGGGTTCTGTCCTGGGTCTCTCGCTACATAGTTTCCTGTGCAGATACTGCAGACTGACCAGCAGGTCGAAACAGCTTTGCCATGACTTCTTCAGGCCCCTGTGAAAGAGTCGCTGGCAAAGAGCCCTGGTCTTCTTGTGAATTTTTCTGCCTGGGTGGCCTATTTCCGCTTCTACCACTTCCCACTCCTGCAGGAAGATCCTGATGTCAGGGTCAGTCCATCTGCTCCGGGAAGGCCCTGCAAGGACAGGAAGGGGGTCACTATTGTGAACACAGCATGCAGGTGTACCGCTGAACTCTTCCTGGGAAATCTTCCTGCTCACTCACTAGCCACGAGTCCCCTAACTCACTCCAGGACTTGGCATCCACCCTGACCGCAGTGCCAAGCAATGTCCTCCCTCGGGATGAGTAGGTACCCTCGCCTTTGGAGATTAAACATCAGAACAGGAGGGGCAGTCGCGGGCCTAGCTGACTGGGGACGCTGTCCCTGTATACACTGACAGCCACCGTTCCACCTATCATTTTGGAGACTCTGTGCAGCTGGGGAGATGGCCAGCTACCTGGCACCACTGGCTGTCCCTCTCTGTCCATCACAGCTGTCCCCATCTTGACTCATGCATAGACCAGTAAGTCACTGAAAAAACACACCGTCTAGAAGGATTTGGATTTAGCACAGGTTTGCATACAAGTACCTGAGAGTGTTGGCCCTTGCTGCTGCACACTCTGCTCCATCCTAGCTTCTCCTCTGCTGTTTCTCAAACTTGTCAATTGGGGTTCTTTTCTCTGTTCACAAATGAATAAATAAATTATTAATCATTTTCATGCAACTTTCTAAGCTGTCCCTGCATCAAGGAACCAACCCCTCGCAACAGCATCCAATCAAAAGACTCCACATTCCTCACCTACAGGTGCTGGTACATACATTCTCACCTAATGGGAAGCTTGGTCATCAAATTGGACCAAGCAATGCCTCCAGTGAAGCCTGAGGTGCCCCCTGTGGAAGGGACAGATAAGAAACAGAAGGGCCTGTCCTTTGACAGGACCTCACCCATTCTCTCCTGCTCACATTCTACCCCCAAATCTTCTGCATTATCCTGCTGCTAAAATACCTCTAGAGTCTCCTGATGAACCCCAGCTGGTTGTCCGGACATATACAGGTTATCAGAGGAAAGATGTCAACCCACAATTTTTCATCTGCTATCGCATGGCATGGGTGTTTGGCCGGTAGCTATAATCCTGGCTCTTTCACAAGAGGACAGGGAGATTCTACACTTCAGGGTAATCCTTGACTACACAGTAGGTTGTGGGCAAGCCTCGGACAAAGAAGAATCTGCCTTGAGGCAGAGGTGCTGCCCGCCTTTAATCCCAGCACTCGGGAGTCAGACCCTGGTTGACCTCTGTGAACTCAAGCACATCCATGTCCACAGAGCAAGTTCCAGGACAGCCAAGGCTGCGCCACAGAGAAAACATCCCACAAACCCCCTAACAAGAAAACACACACACACACACACATACACAATAAGTGGGATTGGAGATAGTTTAGCAGTTAAGTGCATTGGCAGTTATTTCACAGGGCCTGATTTCACTTCTCAGTAACCACATGGAGGCTTGCAGCCATTTATAATGGGATCTGATGCCCTCTTCTGGGAAGCAAAAAGTCTAAAAAACAAAACAAAACAAAAAAGAAAAACAAAAAACAACAACAACACAAAAAGGCCTGTCGGTGTCACATGCCTTTAATCCCAGCACTCAGGAGGCAGAGACTGGCAGATCTCTGTGAGTATGAGGACAGCATTGTCTACAGGACTAGTTCCAAGACAGCCTCCAAAGCTACAGAGAATCCCTGTCTTTTAAAAACGGAACAAAACAAACAAACAAACAAAAAAACAATCTGCCAAGACAAACATAAAAAAACAAATAATCCCAAGAAAACAAGGATCACTGGCTTTTGTAATTGCAGAAATGTGTTCCCGTTTAAGGCAGTTACCCACGTTTCCTTGCCTGTACAATGAACAGAGAACCAACACCTCCAATGGGGCATACTACTACTCCTGGTTCATTTCACCTCACTCCATGTGGAGTGGAGAAGCATGCCAGAGACACAGTTTAAGGCTATAAACCTCCTGGGATGGATTGAAAAACAAACATTCCAGCCATCCTCCAGAAAACACCAGACTGGATGACCTGGACCTTACGTACATTTTCCCTTCTGAGCTCTCTTGTGGTCCACAGAATCAGGAAACCAGTGTTCTGTAGGTGCTGCTGGGTGCCACAGAGTCTGGAGTGTGCAGTGTGGAGGGAGGGTTCTGTTCACTGCCCGAGCTCCAAGAGGTCTGGGAACCCGATGGAGATCTGACCCTTTATAAAGCTCTTGGTAGGCTCGAATCTGGCCACGCCTGACTAGATTCCAGGGTGTGTCAACAGAGTATAACAGCAGCTTTGCATCCCATCTCAGGAGGCTGAGACAGGAGGGATGCCCAAGTTTCTAGCATTCTTAGGTTAGACCTCCTTGAGAACCACACAGTCTCCATTAAAAGCTATCAAACAAGCGCAGGAAACATAGGCAAATAGTTTCAATGTCTTCTTTGAAGCAGCTTTTTGGTTTTTCATAGCACATTTATTAAATATCTTCACTTCATGTAAACTGTGATTGAAACCTGAGATGTACAGAAAGTTTGGAACTTCTCTATCAAAGGGCCAAAAAGAGAAATAGTGAAGGAGGCTAAGAGATCATCAGGAAGCATGGCCCGAGGAAGAGACAGGAATGGTGAACACTGGGGCCTTCTATATGGAGGCGACACTGGATGGGCCCAGTTTGTGCAAAACTGTCACAACTCAACACGTGTGTCAAGGACGCTTCTCTCGCCTACAGAAGCATGAGAGTTGCCTCAGCTAGCTCAGTGTTTGTCACCTAGTCGGACAAGAGCCCTCTCCAGAAAGAATGGCCCTGACACAGGCATGGCCTGTTATTTACTTTATGGATTATAAGATGATTTAACACAGTGGCAAAATACACCTAGAAAGGAGCAACTTATGTGAATTTAGGTTTGGGCTGGGAGGTCACCACACCCTGAAGAACTGTATTTATGGGTAGAGTCATCGGCGAGGGTGAGGACAACTGGTCTACCCCTTGAGATGTGCTCTTTCCACGCTGTGTTCACTTTAATGCAAGGGATCTCACAGGACCACGTGGACAATGCCATAACCAGTGAAAGGAAGCATCATTCTCAAGTCTAGGGAAAAGAGTCATTATTTTACTTGGTGGGTTTTCTTGTTGTGAGTGAGGATCTTGAGACAGTAACTCTCATATCCCAAGATACAGTGAAACCCTCTTTGTAGACAAGAATGAGCATGAATCCCTGCTCAATTTCCCTTGGTTTGCCTGTTGCTAGGATGATCTACTCACTCCTGTCATATCATAGTACAGGGCTCATGGAAAGAACAAAGTTGGCAAGAGACTTTAAGGTGGATTTTAATCACCAGGACAAGAGTAATTCACCAGGCCAGGCCTAGAATGAAGAGCTCCTACCTATGGAATTGCGATTCCCTGGATCCCTGAGCCTACAATTCCTCCAGTAGTACCCGATGACCTTGTACCCCTCTTATCCCTTTCCCCGGTGATCTGATCTCTGCCCACCCACAGACACAGCATCTGTGCAAAGTACCATGAAAAACAGTTATGATGTGAGCCCCCTATAAGAAGATCCTTGATAGGTAGCCAATATCCCAAGAAATCTCTCTTTTGGTTTTTGTTTTGTTTTGTTTTCAGATGTTGATTTCCGGAGGTTTCTAGCATGACTTAATACACTTATCATCACTGACAATGGCTATGTGTGGTGTGCTAGAGTTCCCTACAATAACTGAAATTTAGCATTATTCTTTCCCTATACGTGTGTGTGTATGTCTTTTAGTCAGGGTTTTCTACATTCACCAACATTAGGGGACATATACACATATGTGAGTGAGTGAGTGAGTGAGTGTGTGTCTTTCTGCGTGTCATTTTTTAGACAGGCTGCTGTCAAAATCATGTGATCCCTAGATGTGAATGGAAAGTAGGAGAATGTAGAGTTTACTTGGCCATTTGGGCCGGGTTGTCTCAGCTATTCATCTGTATATGCTGAAACTGGATAAGTAGGTCCAATATCACTGAAGGAATAGATGTACTGCCAGGTTCAGGCCAAACAGACATGAAAATAGGAATCGATCCTCATTTGATTGAGTTTATATTGGTTTCCAGCTGAAGCTGAGAGCCTGATTAAAGGTGTGCCTTTCCTTTTCAGGATTTGGATTAAAGGCGTGTCTTGTCCCACTTACAGGCCTTGATCTAAAGCCTGTGTCTTCCCAGCTCAGTATAGGGATCAAAGGGGAGTCCTTCAATTCTGAATTTGTAATTCATTTGGAATAAAGTCAAATTTACAACTACGAGGAGTCAACAGTGTGTGTGTGTGTGCGGGGGTGGGGGAGGGTTCGTATTCCTGTGTTTATGTGTGTTTGTCTATGTGCCTGTCTCTTGGTATAATGTGTATGTTTATGGATGTAGATATGTGTAAGTGTGTGTATGTGTATATATCCGGTTTGACAAGAACCACATAAAGGCAGCTAATCCAACAATGGCTGCCTATGGACAGAAGGTCCGAGGATCCAGTAGTCGTTGTTCCCCGAGGAGGAATGTCTCAACTGCTCTTTAGTATTTGTCACATCTCAAAGAAGTAGACTCTAAGACAGTGTTTCTCACCTTTCAAATGTGAAAATCTTTCATGCGGCTCCTCATGTTATGTTGATTCTTAATCCTACACCTTTTCATTGCTGCTTCATAACTGTGTATTTGCTACCATTGTGAAATATAAAGTATATAAGTGTATTTTGCCATATTTTAGAACATAATTGTCTTTTCACCTCATGAGGGGTTCCCAAACACTGGGTGTCAAACATCTCTCTAATGCCACCCAAGGGATGGATTTGCCATCCCGGGCCATACCTCGTAGGCAAAAGAGAGAAACTTTGTGTCAGTCACCTTGAGCAGCTGGAGTGCCTGAGCCGAGCAGGGGCTGCAGGGGAGTGGGGGTGCAGATTGGAAAATGCAGACCACCAAGGCACTGCTCTTTACTCCAGGTCGGATCCGCTCCTGTACCAGGGGTCTAATCAGACCTGTGTCTGCCTCCCTCCTGAGTAGGACAGAGGCCCTGTCTAAACAGCCTTCCAGTAGCAGCTCCCCTACTCCAGGGGGCCAGACGGGAATTGCAGACCAGTGTTGTGTCCCTGGACATTGACACAGCTGCCAAGGCTATTGGTGCTGGGGCTGCCACAGTTGGTATGGCTGGCTCAGGGACGGGCATTTGAACAGTGTTTGCTAGCTTGATTACTGGCTATGCCAGGAAGCCATCTCTCAGGCAACAGCTCTTCTCCTATGCCGTTCTGAGCTTAGCCCTGTGAGGCCATGGGGCTCTTCTGTTTGATGGTAGCCTTCCTCATCCTCTTCGCCATGTGAGTTGAGGCTCCATGGGGTCAGCCAGCCATCCATGCTGCTTGGACTCCAGGCCAGGCCTGGTGCTGGAGTGTGCTAACTTTTACCATTAAACAATTTTTGTCAAAAAAACAAAACAGAGGTAAGAGTGAAGGGGAGAGAGAGAGAGAGAGAGAGAGAGAGAGAGAGAGAGAGAGAGAGAGACATTGTCCTTCAGGTCCATTCACACATTTCCATTATGAAATCTGGCCCATGTGAGAGGTGTGAC